TTCAGCTAGAGAAGTGAATTTGTCTGATTATATTAAGTTTTTTTAAAAATTGGTCATTTGCATAAACTTGCAAATCATTGAAAAGTTATATTTAATTTCTATGCTAATTTACTTTTTTTCAAATTAATAGTTCATTGGAGATATTACAACTTAAGTAACAGCAACTGTCAGGTTCGATAATGCAGAGTAGAAGTAAAATTAAGTAACAAGACAGCCACCACTATCCTCTCCACTTTGCTCTGATAGGTTGTTGCTACTTTATTATGTCCAGATATACAATATTAAGATCCAAGCTAACTATGTATGCTCAGGTCATTATTCTCAAAAGATGATTAACTTCAAAAAATATATCCCAAAAAACAATTGTCAAGAAAAAAAATCTGTTGGACTTCTCATCGTTCCAAGTCCTCCAAATGTAATAAATTAAATAATAGAAGGATGCTGTAGATTCTTCCTATTTACTCGCATCATTTTCATTCTATACTCTGGAGCTCTGTGGGAACAATACAACTTGAGGCTCATACAACTTCACTCCTTCCAAAGGTGGTCATTATAAGCACATTAAAGAAATACCACATAAATCTCTATGTAAGATTGTAATACAGGGTCAATCCTTTTAAGGACAGACAAATTGAACACCTCAGTTCACTAAAAGCACAAAAATTCCTCCTACAGTAAATCTACTACTGTAGAATAGCCTATAGATTTCAGTTTTTAGTTTCAATACTTTTCTCAAAAAACAAACAAACAAACCATGTAAGAACTGCAAGAATATAGAAGCATACATAAATGACTTCACACATGGATAACTGGCAAAGAAAATGCTTTTATGAAGCTTTGTTGCACCTTCTATTATATAAGCAATGCAACTTTCAAAAACTTGCCCCAGAAGGACTGAGCCTCTTATAATTTAACGGTGATAAAAGATGCTGGAGCCCATAAAGCATCTACAGCCAAAGCTCTTTTAATCTAATGGAGATGTCTCCGGTGATGCTATGATAATTTCAGTAAGAGTCTCTTTAATCCATTTGAAAAGCATTACTGTGAACTTTGCTTTGCAGGAGACAGCAGGAAGAACTTGACTAACTGTTCTTAAAGGGTTTGATATCCAAAACCTACCAAGCATTTTCTTCTTTCAAAGCCAACATGACTAAAACATTTCAGAGTGGCTTTGGGCTTTCTTTAACTGTAGATTGATTTATTTAAGTCACAAAACATAGAAATAAGTAATTAGTATATCCCTATCTACACAGTAAAGGTAACGCTACTACTAACACTGCAACTTGATTACAATACAGTATTAAAGTCATTGCATAGTTAAGCACTCAAGAGTATTAGTATTATGAAAAGTGAATTAATAAGGGATGCTGAACTTTTGACCTCCATGTGGGGCCAAAGAAAGAAGTCAGTTCATCACTGATGATGAACTGGGGATGTTTCAGGTTTTTTTGAGTTGCAACCACAGCTTTGAAGTGGACTGTAAAGTAAGCTTTAAAAAGAAACTTTTCCTTCTAAAATAGATAAAATTCTCAATTTCTCCTCTAAAACAATCGCTCTCCAAAATCCAAAAGCACAGCAAACCACTTTGAAGACTAACAATTTAATACAACATAAAGGTGAATGAATGAATAATGGAACGTGTACACAACTCTGATCTAATAAGCACTGTATCTTCAAAGGTTCAGGTACAACATAAGTTAATAAGAAAGTTACTTTGATGAGTTGGATTACAGAAAACTCTCCACAAAAATGCTCATTTCAAACAGGACAACTCTTAGCAGTTCTAAATAGTTACAATCATCAGCTACTATTTGCAACTGAAAATGCCTAGAACTAAGTGTGAAAGTGTTTCACAAAAAAAAAAAAAACAAAAAAAAAAACCAAACAAAAAAAAAAAAAAAAAACCACAAAGATCACTAGACAGTCAAGGTGTTTGCTGTTTTATTTGTTATTACTCTGTGTACAGTAATATGGTAACAGCAAGATATGGCTTCATGTTGTTTTCTTCATTAAAAAAATGCTTTTATCTCTATTTTATTTTTAATTGTTAGTTAGTTGTTACACTTGTTTGGACAAGGACAATGCCTCAACAACATAAGATTTTAACCTAGATTAACCCAACCTACCACCACTGTAGAAGACCTTCGCACTTCTCCAGCAAGATTTGGATTGCAAAATAAACAACAAAAATAAAATAAATGGGCAAAAATATGCAGGCTTTTCAGTAGAGGTAGAATTCCACTTCCTTCGTATTCTGTACTGCTGGTTAACATTACCTGCATTTCCTCTTTCCCACCTTCACCCACTCACCAAGAGACTTTCATTCTTCTCTTGCCCCCATGTATCATCCTTAACAAATTAATTAGAATATAATTCTAAAAAAAAGTAATAGTAATTCATCTTCTTGCCACTTTATTCTCCCTGTACTCTCCAGTTTTGATGCACTTATGATTTATAAATAAAAAATAAGGTAATCTGCCTGGTATTCATTTAAAATGGCATAGCATGGTATTCCATAACTCATCCTATTACATTCAAACATTTAAAAAAAAAATTCCAAACCAGAGCCAGAAGGCTTTTATTTCTTTCCCACAAAAGCTTTGTGGATGTGATTCTCTCCCTCTCTCTTCAACACATACACTGCATTTGGATCTTGTAAGTTTTCCTATTATATATATATATTTTTTTTTAAGTCAGGGATGTTTACTTTTCTACTCATACAGCTGCTTGCATCACAAATATGGAATACAGTTACACTTGCCTTAATAATTTAGTATTCACCATAATCTACCGATGACTCAAAACTTATCTAGAATTCACATGAATGTCACAGCTACTTCCACTAGTTCCAATGTAATCCAGCATATTTAAAATCCAATTGGTACCATGACCTGAAGTATATAGCTAATTATCTGAGGAATCAGAGCTCCTTCTCCCAGCACTTCTATTCCAAATCAATGCAGTAAAACTTTACAAAATGAAAAAACAAATAACTCCACATATCCTAACCATAAAACAAAAGAGCAATTTCTTTTTTTCTCATTTTTCTTTTTTATCTGTGCTCAATTCATTCATGTGATGAAATCGGAGGAAAAAGAAAAGACTGATGTGAACTTACGATACGTGCCATTCCTGAAGGCATTCAAGGCCAGGTTGGATGGGATCCTGAGCAGCCTGATCCAGTGGGTGGCAACGTAGCCTCGGGTAGGGGGCTGGAGCTACATCCTTAAGGTTCTCTCCAACCTAAGCCATTATATGATTCTAGATCAGAAAACAGGTTTGTCTTCCTCCTACATCCTCAGAGATCAAAATATCATAAAAATACAAATCTCCATCTCATACTTATTTAAAAAAATAACTATTAATACCAAGCCTAAATCCCTTTCAACAGTAAAGATTCTCCAAATTCAGCACAATTTTATTTGAAACCACCAAAGACTGGAGTTAAGTCTGCATACGTACCATCAGTCATTGAACAGAGCTGCTTGCTGCATCAATTATTGCAGAAGTAGTTGTATGCTCAAGCAGATATTATTACTCTTAACAGGCTGCTCTGTTCATAGAAACCATGTAAAGAGAGCTGCAGCATGAACAATTGATTACTGTCTAGTTTTAAAACTATTTCTAAGTTTAATAAATATTAACCCAAGTCAAACATCTGGGGTTGGTCCCGTCTCATACTCATCCTGGCTCTGGGACATAATGACTTACACAGGTTACACATTACACATGCAGATCTCAGAAGAGTTCTTTATACCATAATGAAGTACTTCAACTGCCACCAAATTTGTTTGAAACAATGTAAATCTAACCCTAACGGGTTGATTTATGTTGCTGGTTTTTTTTTTTTTTTTTTTTTTTTTTTTTTTTTTTTTTTAAACTCTAGACTGTCCAGATTACAGTGAAATTTTTCTCACATACTTAGTTTTAAAGATCCAGTTTGAGGAAAAGATAATGTAGTGGTTTGTTTATGGTTTTTATTTTATAAATGCATGACTTCATGTACCAGCAAAATTCATCATAGGGCAAGATCTTCAACTACTATCTTGCTTTTTAAGTGTTTATTTGCTTTAAGATAATATTCATGCCATGTATGACTAAGATTCCAGAACCATGCACTGACAAATGGATTATTTACTTCAAGCACCAGACAGTTTCATTCCAGTGGAAAGAATACACTCAATGCAAGAACGATCATGTAAAGTGAAATAGATTGTTATACTTGATAGTTATATATTTTAGAAGACTTGTTTGCTCTTAAGTTCTATAGATTTAGCTCCAAATTCTATAATTGTCTCTAAACAATAAGCAACATACTTTTACAATCACATTTGCTGTGTTATTTTAGCACTGTGTTTAAGCACTACAGTACCAAAGTAGCTGATAAGCCCTATTTAACGACAGCTACACTATGTTCAAGTATATTTTTCTTACAACAACGTGTATGCTGTATTATAAATACTAAGTTTATAATGCTCGATTACACAGGAAGTTTGTCATAGCACATAAATATGCACAGTAAATTGTGATGTTAATTGTTCGTTTATACAAATACTAGTCAACAGCACTGAAGAGTACATAGAGGCATCTTGCAACATAATTTCAAGATGCATCTTGAAGAATAGCACAAGCACAGGAACAAAACTAAATACATCTTTTCCAAAAACAACAAAAACTCTAGCTGTCTTCAAATCCAGCAACTTCCCAGCAGATGCTCTGAACTCAGAAGGATTTAATGAGTTTCGAACCAGAGAACAGTGAACTAAAAACACATTAGTACTGAGGAGAGTGCCAGGCCAGTGATTGAGTTCTAGTAGTTAAGAGGAGATTTACATTATATTTTAAGAAGCATAAAACAAATTGATTACCACATTTGAATACAGAGAACACTCCAAGTTCCTACTTCAATGATGTAGCAAAGTAATTAAAAATTTTCATTAACATTTATAAAACTACATATGCCACAAGAAAACAGCTTCAAAAATATTATATTTTCTTACCTGCATCCATGAAGCAGTGATGCTGCGCTGTTCTGAGTGCTGCTGTCTATACGATATGACAACACTGAGTGACCAAAGGAAATTCCACATGCTGCTGACACAAAATCCACTGAGGGGCAAATAGAGAAAAAAAAAAAAAAGAAAAAAAAAAGCCTTCTAGCACCTGTCATGAATCTTCTTTGATACTCCTAAATTGAGAGTTCTGACTTTTTATTTCCATATATTTTCACCCAATTCCATTGATGCTTAACATTACTAACAAGTCTCTTGTACTTGAATTGCCCTTTTTTGTTCTGATAATAACCTCCCATACTCACGCCTAACAACAAGGGAAAAGGCCACACCTGCTTTCTACTTGGAAATACAGAGCACCACAGGTGGGGGCATTTTACTTCAACTCACTGTTATTGATTGGAACATGCAAAACGGCTGATCTCACATGCTGCCTCCAGGATCTCAGAGCAAGCCTCATCCCCATTTCACTTTAATTCACTGCACAATAAAGGAAACCAGTGATGACTGCCTCAAATATAAAGAAAAAAACCCACACAAGTAGACCCTTTTCCTCCTGTTCTGAAGTTATCTCATTTTCACCACCACTCCACAGGACTTTCCTTTGAGGAGAGAAAAAGTGGTACGGCAGTTGCAGCGGGAAACCTAGCCATCTTCTTCTGCTCTGTTTCTCACAGGTCCCACCATGCTTAGCGCTGCTGGCAGCAGACTGTGGCCCCTTAGGCACATCCTCTCTCCTTTGCCACAGCAATAGTTGCAGCAGGATTGTCTCCACTCTGACACACAGCAGTTGTGGCAATGGCAATGCTACCCCATGCTCTGGCATAGCTTTGGTTGCAGCAGCACCCCCCTCAGGACTTTTCCCGCCCTTCTATCAGTTCTCTCAGGAGGGAATTGTCCCTTCCATGTGGAAAGCACTCACTGTGATGGCCTGAAGTACAGAATGCTAAATGCCTCCTTGGTGGGTAACTTTTACATGAATTGTCTTTTTTCTCGTGGTCCTTGCTGCTGCAGGTCCAGCTGCAACCAATACACAGCCAATATCTCAGCTGCGCAACCCCCTGCACTCAGCAGCACGTGCCCAGCTCAGCCCACCTTACCACAGCTGTGCCCAGATAGCTGGGACAACACTAACGAGGCCTTCCCACCAAGGTCAAAACCTTGCCTCCTAATTTGCAATACAACTAGGACACAATGGGAATGGAAATAAATGCAATTGCTCAAAGTAGAGAGGCTTAGAGCAGCATTTCAACACAGCTCCTTTCTCTACAGATTCATTCTTAAGATGTATGATAAAAAAATTATCTGTAGTATGGAAACAGACTGATAACTCAGGAAAATGAAAAGGTCACTAATTCTAAACTCATCCTTGGAGCTAAACTATTTTACATACATCCCATGTATTACGAGTAGCCTGTATTCACACTAAATTGTGTTTTATTGTGAGTAATCTCTTGTTCTTGGCTAATATAATTGTGGTTCATCACTAGCAGAATATAAAGTCATAATGCTTTATCACTTCAGTGCCATCACTCTCTTGTAATTCATCCTGACGTGTAATAGGACCGCATGCCACTGTATGATTTGTTTTCTCGTTTGTATTTCAGTAGAGCACAATGAACACTTGTAGTTGAGAACTGGAAGATTTTCAAGGACTTGAGTCAGATATGCTTTCATGAATGAGGCTACACTCTCAGCTATATGAAGTGAGAGCTATTTAAAGCCATCTATCTACTGAGAATCTATATCCTATTTGACAATGACAGAAAAAAAAATCATTATTTGTTTTTTGTTTATATTTTCCACTTTAAATTAGCATTTTTACATTTATACTACTAAGAGTAGACTTCAGAACCATGACAATGATGGACACCATGACTTTCAGAAAGTCAGAAATAACTGAGATGCCTAAAGAAAAATTTTTTTAAAGAATGTTTCTTCTTTTTCCATAAAACATACCTTGCAAGTTCTAACAAACAAGAACAATTTCACTATGCTGTAAAGTACAAATTATCTGAAAATCAGTTATTATCATATTTGATTTGGTTAAGGAAGATTTCTAAATACAATGAGTTCCAGGGTAAAGAAGTGCTCAATTCACATGACTTAAATCAAAATGAGATTGGAGAGTTTTACTGATTTATCAACAATACATTACTAAAAAAGAGCACAGATCAAAACCGTAGACATGAATATAAGGCTCACCTGCACTAAATCATTCAGACCTTAGTATTTTTGTAGCTTAATGTATCAAGTGCAAATAATTTATAATTAACTCCTTATTGTTTATAAACATACATCACTAGAAGTAAAAGCCCTTCGTAAATAAAATATTTAAAAATTCATTTTAAAAATGAATAGCATTAAGAAACTAGCACAGAGCTGTCTTCTTGGCACTTACTTCATACCAACTTTGTTTTTTACTGAGGGTAGAACTACCCCACTCTAAACAGATTCTTAAAAGAAATAAAATTCATTAGTCTTGAACCTATGTCATCTGTGTTGTTAAACAAATCTTTTTCCAGAAACATTATTTCTGTAAAAGGATTTTCCAATCCATTAGACCTAAATGGATTGTATTTATGTGCTGTCCTGCTTGGGAAGAAGCAAAATCACTTCTGACAGGTTCTTCGGTATACCAGGTAAAGTATTTCCCAGGTAGGCAAAAAATCGTATACAAGAACAGAACTCACCTAACTGGGGAAAAGGCTCTTCAGCTATGCAGCACTACTCTGCAAGAAGCAGTCTATATTAAAGAGATGTTCTCCCTTCAGAGGATGGCCCTTTTATGAGCCCAGAATGGCTGCACACTGGGTCTACTCCTGCTAATCACCCGGGAAGCACAGATGCAAACAATCTGCCTGTACTCCCCATGCCAGCCACACCCCTTCATCAGGTGCTCAATCATCAGCTCAAATCCCAAACCAACAGTTCCCCCACAGCTGTATAATATATTAATTATAGAATATTCATGCATGAAAGACAACAATCATTTTTGTGAGGGATATTGATTGATAACTCACCTTAGAACACAGAGTTGAACTGAAAGGTCCATTTTGTTTCTTTAGTCTATTTTGATAGAATAAAAAAAAAAATAAATCACCAACCATTCTTAGGAAGTAATTGTACTAGAGTTACACTTGGGCATATAATACATTAATCACTAGAAGAGAAAGTAGAGGGAAAAATGTTGTAAGCAGCAGCTGAACAATTGATGAAGTTATATTTTGAACCAGATCCTGCAACTGGGGAATTAAGTTTTACAAAAATAGTACAGTAGAATACTGTATCTTGATCAACCTCACTTCTTTACCAAATGCAGAGGCAAAGCCAGATTTATTGTATGTTGTCTTCTTCAAAGGTACTAATTAGAATCCACGTTTTCCAATTAGGAGTAAGTGTTATGGAAAAAAAAATCGTAGTAAATTTTACTCCCATTTGACTTTGGACTGAATTTGGATTGAAATATTATAAGCTACATAGAATGTAACAAAGTCTATTGTGTATGCATAAAAGGTTTGAAAGAAAAAAAAATTAAAAAAAATACTTTAAAGTAGTGTAAAATGCAAAATTAAAGTACCTGATTTTACTGACGCCATAACAGCAATGGCATTGTCACCAATGTAATTAAGAACATATGAATCTAGAAAGCTCCTGAATCCAGCTGAAAGGCCTCTGTAGAATTCTGTCTCTTTTCAAAATAGCCTGTTCTAAACTTACCTAAATTACTGCTGTAAATAAACAGAGCAAACATTTTTTTAGCATAATTATTTTTACTGTGTTTTATAAAATTAGAACATTATGATAAAGGAACACAATTGGTTCATTTGCTCAACTATGTAATATTTGTAGACAGTTTACAATAACTTCTAACTTATCAAGGAGAGATTAAAAAAAAATTGATCAGCAGGCATTTTCATAATTGTCACTGAATATTATGCATTTGTTATTCCATACACTGACAATGTTGTCAGGAAAGACTTGCACAGAATGTCTATGATGTACTTTTGTTCCAGTATTCAATCATAATCAACAATTCTTGAAGTAGTAATAGTTCAAAATGGCCCCAAGGCTCCATAAAACAAGAACTGCTGAGCTTTGTGACCTTGGTCTTTAGAAAAGTTAAAAAGTTTTAAGACTGGATGTGAATGTTGATAAGATGCCATTTAACACTTTTAGAATTTTGAAATATAATGTGCAATAATTTCAATACAAGCATTTAATAGTTTTTTAACTTCCATTCTAGCACTTGCTGTTTCTAATTAGATACAATTTGATCTAGTTTATGGTACACATTCCCTAAAAAAAGCCCTACAAGATAAATGCTGCAGGAAATGTAGTATGACCTTTTCATTACTGCCTTGTCAGGACATCTGTCAATAGATTTTTCTTGTGTTCCAAAGCAGTCAGACATTTCAATGAACTGCAGTAAGGTAAAGCTTGCTCTTGGTAGGAAGCCAGAGTATGCTACCCAGTAAAATTCATAATGTACTATAGTCAACAAGATATCAAGATACAAGGTATGTAATAAAAATGAATTTGTCTTTTGAAGTAGAAAAGGTCAACAATTTACTGCACTTCTGAAGGGAAAATATAAAAGAAAAGAAACAAATTGCATTTTCCACATCCCTGGTAACATTATCAGTGATTATACTCTAGAATGTATTACATAAATTTATTTCAGAAACCATTTAAATAAGCAATTTTGTAACACCGGCAATGAAAGGCAAATAAGAAACGCAGCTCAATATTTACAGAAGAATAGACAGAGGGAGATAGTTCTCTCACAAAAGAAAAGATTGCAAAGATATTTCAAATTCTGGAGACAGTAATAGTTATGACAGCTTTTAGGAAGCTCCTAAAAACCATTCTACCTTCTCAACTTAACATGAATTCTTTCAGAGACAAAAGAGGCGTGCCAATCCAAAAAAGCAAATAACCTTTTTCAAATTCTAGTTATTATAACGGATACAGAAGTGACAAACTGAGCATGTTTTCTAATTCTCTAATTTCTTCGAGAGAAATGCTAAGTGTAAGAAGAGCAAAAGATAGACGTCAGCAGTATTGACAGTTATCTCTGTCAGGAAAATTCCAGAGGCTTGTTAATCAATATAACAATATTGAACAAGTTAAAACTTAACAGTAATCAAATACTGTAACAACAGAGCCTGAGACAAATATTTACTAACTCTGAGTAGTTATGCCTTCATTCTAACCAATATACAACAGAAATATTTAGAACCTTCTTTAAACTTTTTTCCTGTTAATTAAACATATTTGTACTACAGCTGTCTTTTTCTTTTCTCTGAGTGTTTCAATTCACTTGTAATATCTATTATATAGTTGACCTTCCGACCTTGTAATTGTTGGTATGTGCAAAGCCTGCTGAACCCAAATGAAGTCCCTTTAAATCTTTCCACATCTCATTGTACAACTGAGGCCTGAAATGGCATTCTGTGAAAAATAAGTTTACAGATTTCTTTTTCTTTCTTTCTTTTCTTTTTTTTTCTTTTTCCTTTTTTTCTTTTTCTTTTCTTTTATTCTTTTTCTTTCTTTCTTTCTTTTTGGCAACTAATTTTTTTTTTTTTTTTTTTTAAATTTTAATTCTTATTTTAGTGAAAATCTTACATTTTCAGAACATACGGGTGGCTGCTGGGGTTCAAAACAATGTTCAGAACAGAGGCTGAAAAAAAAGAAGTTTGACAGGATGTGGAAGAAGACACTGAGAACAAAAGCTGTCTCCAAAAGGCAGGAGCACAAGTCAACTGGGGAGCTTAATCTCCACTTGGCAATGACCCTGACTGGAGAAGCAGTGCATAAATAGAAGCAATTTGTGGCTCTGATTGGATGAGCACTTGCATGGGCAGTTTACTGCCTAGACACGAAATGTTAAGTGTTCAGCTGACATACTGGGGGGGATGGAAAGTTACAAGAGGAAACTTGGAAATGTATATAAGGGATATTGGAACCTTATTATGGAATAAAGGATTTGGATCGTTCACATTTGTGTCCATGCTTCAGAAGCTGCAGATGTCAGGACACGTTTACCAGAAGGCAGACAGTTAGGGAAACACTGTGAGTCCAGCCCCACAATATCAATGCCTTAGGACTGCCCTCAAATATATATGAATAAACACAGGTCATTACTGTAAAGAACAGTTGCAGAAGTCCTCATCCTTGTTTATCAGCACACTAGGGAAGAAGGCAACTAGAAAGAGTGCTTCCCAAGGTGATATTAAGGAACATTTTGGAAAGTCAATATGATGAAACAAGTACTTCTTATCTTGTATAGTTCCATATGATGTTTCTAATGCTTGCTGGCTCTCCAATGAGTCCTTTTTATCTTCCCAAAGGGGAAGATAAAAATCCCAGGATCTCCACCCTGGGATCCATGCCTGCTTACAAGCCCAGTAGCCTGGTTCTTTGTCATTTCCTGGACTGGAGTCATGCTTTAGCATGTCTAGCTGCTTCAACACTGATCTGGTATAAACAACGAGTTGATCAGTTTTCCCTGTGACAGCCTAACTCTCAGTTGTATTATACACAGAGCTCCATTCTGGGCATGTGCAAGTTTTCTATGTCCTGTAACTGTAATTCTCCAGGATCAAACTTTCCCATCAGGACATTTTTCATACCTAGAAGTGTTATGGTAGTTTTGGAAGTCATTTTCAATTTACTTAGAAGTGTATTGTTTGGCAGAATCAATGTCTGTTCCTATTTATCTTCAAGAGAATGTTTTGTTTCTAAACAAATTATATCCCAAAGGACTTAAAGCTGTATTTTAGCAGACTCTAAATGTTTCTGTTCTAAATAACTGTAAATGTGCTGGTTGCTTTTACAGCATATGATCTGACTTCTGTGCAAAGATCCACGAAAGACGCTTTGGATATACAATTTCCTTGGGGAAACAAATCCATTGTTTGAATTAAATTACACTGAGATTTCTATGCAAAGCTAACACATTGCAACTTTAGTGTTAGTCTGACAGTACCTTGCTGTTCTTGCCACACGCTATGTTTATCCTCATCAAACCGGGGCTCAACTGAGAGTAGGTTGCAGTGTTCCAAACAGACTGGCAGGTGGTTGAGTCTAGAAGACTTTTTACAAATGTCCCTGAGGTCAAGTACCAGGAGTTAGCACTCCATCCCAGGAAGAATATTATACTTATCATCAATAAATGCTTTTGGACATGTAGCATAAAGGTTGGTGTTTCTGGCAGCCACATTATTTGAAAAACAATGCACTACTTCTAGAACTGTTTCAGCAAAAATAACATCTTCTTTGCCTGACCTAAATGCAGGATTGTTCCAAGTGATTCTTTGCTTGTTGTTTTTTTCCTCAGATATATTTGTTCAAAAAGCATGCCTCTTCTGCAATCTTAAAACACGGTACTGACTGAATCCAAATTCCATTTGGTTTCTTTATCTATAAAAATTTTGTGCATCTTTCTGATTGGATAAGACAACTATGAAGCGACTTTCCATCAAAGCATATCTCCGCTTCACAAGCACCACAACTTACTTGTTCAGTGCACCCTAGCAGTTTACTTTCTTACAGACTGTAAACATTTTATTAATGGTCCATAACAATGTATCTATCCTGCTCTAACAGAAGGTCACACTTCTCTCTCTAGCAGTGTGTTTAATCTTGTGAGAATCAAGCCACTTCTTCATTCTCCTGAACCACAACTCATTTTTGTAGACATGCTTCTTACCCCCAAGTCAGAATCACCAAGATTAGAACAGAAACATAATTATGGTTTTTACAGGTGTGTGC